ACTGTATACATCAAAACGTGTAGGTTTTAATGTTCAAAATGTAATTTTTGGAGAGTTGCCTCTTTCAAATTCAAACTATGCTATTAATTTTATAATTTCATATGCGAAACAGTATACTTTTCATTGTTTAAAAAATGTTAAAATGCCAAATTTAAATGGACTGGTACCCTTTTTAAAAGTGTACTATAATGTGGGAAAATACATATCTGTTAAAAATTCAACTGCTGATAAATTTGAGTCTGTATGGACACAATGGAAACTTATCTTGGAAACTTAATTGCTAAGAAAAAAGATGAATATTAAGAAACAAAGGCTGCATACAATTTGTTTTTCTATACATAGCTTGTAAAATTGGCTAAAATATTAAATATTGTTTATGTAAGCATGAGTGAAGAGTTGAGGTGGGTGTGTGTGGTTAAAATGTTCTGTGCAATTTATTTATATATGTATTAATTTTATTAAGTACACAGAAATAAAGCATTTAAAAAAACCTATCATTAAGTCAAATGGTGACTGACGTCTTTCATACTAATTGTTAGCCCATCATTTACACACTGAATTGTCTACGTATTTTCCGTTTTTCCTGATCATGACAAGGAGCACACGGCGTGTGTGACGGGTCGGCAGGGGATGCTCACTCCTCCATGGCACCTGTTCCCACCTCTGATGTTTTTGAGGGTCCCTGTTTGCTCTGCTCCCAATTTGAATTGTCTAAATGGACTTTGAGCTTGAATTCTGTTCGCTTTCTCCATATTCCATGTTCAAACTTATTTTATTGAAATATTCCTTACTCTTGATCGATCATCCATATGACTTCGAGAATTCGATATGTAATGGATACTAAGTAGTTATTGTGAAATTCATGTTACATATAGGTCCAATGATCCAGCTCTAAGTATATATTAGTTGGTCATAGCTGGAGAAAATCGCGATACTCAGATGATTTTTACTGTGTTGCCAAGGCCCATGGGGGGCATTCAGTTGGTCTTTTCAAAAGTTAGTTTTTCATTCAATTCCTCTGCATCAATTTTCATATCATACTTAAGCTTCTTCATAACAGCTAAAGTTTAAAAATAAATAAAACAATAAAAATTCTACACTTTTTAATAGCTTAGTATACAAGTACAATTTTTATTCCTAAAAATGAATGACATTGTTTATCAAATCTCATTTCCTATCAAATTTCCTCATACAACAATGTTAATTGACATAGGATTACTTTGAGAAAAAAATCTTGAACACAGAATGACACATTTTATTTGGTGATTCAAGAAAAAAAATATGCTAGGAATTCTAGGGACACAAATTCTAAATTTCAAAACGTGGGAGTTGGACATCACAATCTTAGACAATAAACAGCTAATTTCAAACATTTCCTAGATACCCTGAACATACATGTAAGGTAAAAGTTAGAAATTTCAATAAATCGATAGAAAATAATAGTTTTGGCCCTTTTCCTCCTATCAATCTTAAATAGCAGATATTGATTCAAAAACATCGATACCATAATATCCAAAAATTACGTAATTTTTACCCCCATTCGTATCCGATTTTTGCTAATTTGTATTTTTTTTAAATGTATGAAAATATAGGAAACATTACATTATTTTTATATATCTTTCGAATTTAATAAAGGAATGAATTTAATAGCTCTCTATAATCTTGGTTAATACAGTTTACTTAAAGTGGCTTATAAAAAGCGTAAACTGTTCCATCCCAGGTTATAAAAATTAACATAGGCAGGTATTAAATTATATTTTTTATTTATTTTCTTACAAAATGTGTAAAAAAGGAAACAATATCCCTTTTTAATTGACTTCATATTGTACAAAGTATAATTGCAAAGTCAAGAAGATTGATACATTTCTGACATCGTTGATAGCCTATACCATATAAACTATTTTGTTAGCCAACCAATTGAAGCGTTACATTTAGAATTCAAGATCTATTGGGAAATAGATCGATATTGATTGAAACAGATATAAAGGATATTCAATGTTTTGTAGAGGAATATGGAATTTATTTGCAAAGCACGAGTGAAAATATAAAAAAAATCCTGTCTCACGAGTGAAATAAATTCCATATTCCTCTACAAAACATTGAATTTTCTGTTAATGACATTTTCTTTGTTTTTCCTTTGCCTCTGTCGTTTTGTAACACAGTGTCAAAGGCTGTGGCGTCATAGTTAAGCGGTTGAAAGATTGAAAAAAGTTGTACACAGATTTTTAGCAACATATTTGGAGAAACTTTGTTAGTTTTAGTCTCTGTCAGGATGGTTCATTTACTCTTTCTATCTTATAACAGGCCAGGTATTTTTTTAAAAAGCACTCTTCGTGAAGGGAAGGAAAATCGACTGTTTTGCCACACATCTGATATTCTCTCAATCTGTGAGAATACCATTTTGATATACTTTCACACTGTGTCAGAATATCACTTTTATTCAATAAATAAATTACAGTATTTCACTGTTGAAAATGTAATGAGAATGTATGAAATATATGGAGATAACAAACAGTATTCAAGCTCAAAAGTCCATTATACATTATACATTATGCATTACTTAATTTAATTTATTGTAAATTTATATAAAAAAAATCGAGAAATTTAATGAAAAAGTATTGGATGACGTGCAAAATATTCTTTTGATTTTTTTTTTAGACATAATCACAGGTAAAAGCAGATATAATATTTCTAACCAAATAGCAGATTTATCAAATAAATGTAGATCTGAGGAATAGCAATGGTAAAACACAACAATATTAATTAAGCTTAGTCTTAGATTTTCCAATTAATGGGTAATATTAAGATTTCTACAGAAATATAGCACTTCATTTCTACGACAAGAAATCCATTTATGTCTAATAATTCCTTTGTGCACTTAATATTGTGAAAAGATCACGTCGCTAACTGATTTGTGATCTAATAATGCACTTGGGCATTGAAGCAGAATAGAAGTGTGTCGATCTAAGGAAAATATAAATTAATGAGCGCATTAATTAAAACCGGTTTGTACCTAAAAGTTATCCAGACAATACCGAAACCTCATCCTCACTCTGAAAATCTGATAAAACTGGATAGATTTTTGTCTGTTATTAAATATTGGATTATCAAGTTGGTTGTTTATTTGATAAGCTAAAACTTCAGTAAAAAGGAATTTAGGAAAATATTTAACGTGGTAAGCACGCGTATAAAGATCATTTTTGGAGATTTAGAACTCATTCATTGTGTCTGTTTGGCTCCTGACTGGGACTGAAAGCCATGTGTCCGATCCCTTCACAAATTCCATCAGTTTGTCAAAAGCAACATTTTGAGATGCATGATAGTGGATAGCCCCTGTCACTTATGTTAAATGTAAGTAAATTTCCGTTTAGTTTCCTTGTTTCCTTGGTTATTGATTTATTTTTTTAAAAATTTATATACTAATTAAAAATCGTATAAATAAAACGGAGGGTAAATAGATCAAAACACGGACCTCTGAAAGCATCAGAGGTGGGACTAAGTGCTTAGGATGAGTAAGCATCCCCTGTCGACTGTTATATCCACAGTGAGTCTTCTGTTGTGATTAGAAAACGAATAATCAGTAGTTAAATTAAGCATAGAAACTGTCCTTACATCTGATATGAAATGTGTCAGTCAAAATATGATCAAGGAATAGGTTGTGTTTGTTTGCAAACAAGCTCATGATATGACCATAGGATTTGCGAAATGTTAACTTTAAGGAGGTTGGATCCTGTCATCAAAAGTAATGAGAATTTTTTATCAAGTATATTTTTAGAATTTATACACATAGCTTTATTAAAAAGCAAAACAAAAAATGGGGGTCAATGCGCTTCTTTTGGCGCTACAGAGCATTTAGTTTGACCTTTTTGCACTGAAAATACATCTTGCACATAATCAATTTTTAAGTTTTTCCTTCAATATTTTTTGTTCAAATAAATTATGGGAACAAAAACAGTCTTATTTTATCTTAAATAGACACATTAAAATTTGTGACAACGAAGAAATTTTCAAATTACTCCGCATGTTCAATTATTTGACCTTTTTGCACTCAAACATTTTCATTTTTCTGGCATTAAAAATTTAACAAGCAAAAAAATCATTTGAAAGTAATGACATTTTACTGAATTTAAGAAGATTGGTAAAGAGTATTGTATATATTCAGAAAAGAAAATTAAAAGTGGGGGTCTGTGATGTTAATTTTTAGATATTACTAAAATAGTGCTAATTTTAAGCTTAAATTAGGGCTATTTTTTTCTTCATTTTCACAATTTATTTGGTATATTTATCAAACATGATGATAGAATTCATGACAGTTTATTTAATAGATAATTTAGGACCAGTATAAAACAGTCCACTGCAAAAAAATAACTATGTGTGCAGACTGCATGTAAAAATAGGAATCCAAACTTAACATACTTTAGACACTTCGAAAGAGAAAAAATGATCATTTTCTTCTAAAAAACCTTCCGCCACAAAATATATTTCCTCACTTAATGCTTTTGGTATGGAATTCAATCATGGAAATTTAACTGAATATAGTTAAATTGGCATTGTAGAATCCAAATTTATTGTAAGAGTTAAAACATTATGGAGAATTTTTGAAATATAGGTTAAGATAAAAATCTGCTCAAAAGCTCAGGAGCGAACCTCGTTAAACGAGAAAGCTTTGTAACATCAAATTATTTGTCATTATCCTTCCTTGTTTTAAAACAAAATTGAAGTTCTATTTTTAGACAAAAGTTGACCACTATTGTCCAATAATAGAGATACTCAGTGTAATAGAAAATCAATTCATGAAAATGAGAGATGTTTGTTTTTGTTATATTTCAGGAGAGCCGAAATTTACTAATTGTTGAGCCTATCATTGACTTCTGATCATTTTGGGCCTGATGGTAAAGATGATACATTTAAATAATGATACAATAAATGGAGAATTATGGAACTGGACGAACGAATCTACTGTGATTATTCTGAGAGTGTATTTCACGAACAAAATTGCGATGGCTGTTGGGATCCCTGTATTCGTGGAAAATATTCTAGCTGTAATTGTCTTACTGAGATGTCGAAACATGATAGTACAGATCCGAACTCTCCTCTTAAATCTCTCCATTGCAGACTGCATGACAGGGTTGGTGCTAACTGTTCCAGATTACGCGTACGAGTTGGTTTTTCATTGCAGGATAAAGAAATATTTGGCAGCTACTATTGTGTTTGGTACCTTCTTCATCATCTCACTCCTGAACTTAGACAGATGTCTCGCTCTGTTTTTCGGAATAAGATATTACATGAAAGTAACGGCTTTCAGAGTTAGGTTGTCTTGTGTGTCCGCGTGGTTTCTAGCAGTTGTGAATTCCTACTTAATGTACTTTGACCCGTCAGAGCCAACAGGTATATACTGTTCAATGATGTTTTCATCACCTCATAATTTTGGCACTGCCATCTCCAGGGCATCGATAATGATATTTGCTTTCATTAACATAGCATTCCTAGGATTTATGTTGTACATGTTACCTAAGCAAGCTACTAGCAGAGTTCTGTCTAAAATGGCATTAATTACTGGATTTGCATTGGTTTGTTACACCCCGGCCTTATTACTTCACGCTTTTTTCCCCATGGAAGACAATTATTATCGTAGACTCATTGCTTACACAGGAGTTCTATTGTTTTCTAACAGTATATTTAATCCTATCCTGTATGTATGGAGATTTAAGGAAGCTCGTCACTATGTCACCAGAATTTTCTGTTTTTGGAACAAGAAGTATCTAGAAAAGTGTGATAAGGATTGGAAATTCCAAACTGCAACGTTTGATATTTGTTGTTCCAATTCTGTTCAGTTTGATCGGAGTGCATAGTAAAACAAGATTTTTGTAAAATTTCAAATGGCTCTCTTTGAGTGAAGTGATTTTTAAAAATGAATTTATTTTATTGATTTTGATAGAGACATCAGTACACAGCAAAATGTGCCACATACGTATCATGTACGTTAAACGTATGTGGTACGTATGTGACTTCACGTACGTATCACATGAAAAAAGCACCACGTATATTAAACGTATGTTTTCACACGTATGAATATCATGCGTGACACGTACGTTAAACATACGTATTGACTACCATACGTTACACACATGTTGGACACGTACATTATTCATATGGTTCACATATGAATAACGTATGTGTGCAACGTGTGTGTAACGCATGTTTTGAGAAACATACATTTAACGCGTTTGTTAAATGAACTGCTCATATGATAAATGTATAAGTACCATACATTGAACATTTTTTTTCACATACTGTAAACAAAGGTGAAACAAAAGTGATTCAATTCATGCATTTGACATTATTAATTTTCTTCAAAGGCTTATTTTCTTTTCGTCTGTTGAATGATCCACATTTTGAAGGTACATATCTGGATATCCTTCACCTCAAATTTCCTGATCCTTATTGCTCTTTAGGCATTCACAACAAAAGACATATTCAAATTTAAAATGTCAGACATGCAAGTGGACGTAAGGTAAACAATGTGAAAAAAATTGGAACATTAAAGACGCAAAACACGTACAACAAGTCAACAACAGGTACAGCACAATCTCTTGATTTAGCTATATAGCTGGAAATAGCTATATAGCTTTATTAAGCTATTCAAAATAGCTTGATAAAGCTACTTATATGCAGTTTTTCAGAAAAATGTTTTTTGTAAGAAATAGACAAAAAGTCGAAAGTACTTGACTATTCTTATATGTACTATGGGCTATCAAAACAACAACCAAAATCAAAGAAAGTTTTAACATTGCAGCATTTGAATACTTTTAAGCAAAATATGTATTTCCATTGTTTGAGTAACTGTACACTACCTTGTGTGCATTGAGGCATGAATAAGTATGATTGCTTCTCATTGTAGTGAATTATTACCAATCTATTATCTTGTTGACCATAATTGGCCTTCTTTATAATTTCATTGCAGAAGTAACTGTATCAATTGCTTTATATATCCCCAAATCTTTAGAACCTTGAGTACAAAGTCTCTTAAGGAGACGCAATTTGATGAGTAATTTTTACATGCATTATTTTCAGAAGAGTTCAAGGTTGAATATTATCACTGCACCAAGGTGCGACTTTTTGTGCATGCTGAGAAAATAACACATTTAAGAAAAAAGTGTGATAAAATAGCTAAATCAAGCTATTCTGAATAGCTTAATAAAGCTATATAGCTAAATCAAGCTATATAGCTAAATCAAGAGATTGTGCCGGACCTGAACAACGCACACCCCTGTGATTGGGTTTTAATCATAGATCATGATATGATATTTTTTTTTTGAAAAAAAGTTAAATATTTAAAATATATTACAGTAGAATGATTAAAATCCATGCAACTTATGATCAAGGGGCCCGTTTTAAGAGGGATTTTATACTTAGACCATTACATGTACAGGTTATTGATTGTTAAACATTATCTTGATTAGTTCTCCAAATTTACTTTGAACTATTAAGTAAAAAAAAAAGTATGTAAAAGTACCATTAATATAGAAAATATACAGCCTTCTCAAACACAGCTAGCTTTTCACACACATGTAAAACACTTTTTATTAACGTACATGTAGCTGATAATACTCATACTTGTCATTAACATACATGTAATGTGTGGTTTATAATACATGTAAACCATGCATATATTAACGTATGTGTAACGTGTGGTTGATAATAAATGTAAACCATGTGTGTGAAATATGTGTAATGTATGGTTTATAATACACATGTAAACCATGCGTTTATTAACGTATATGTAACGTATGGTTGACAATACATATGTAAACCACACGTTCATTAACGTACGTGTAACGTGCGGTTGACAATACACATGTAAACCATGCGTTTATAAACGTACGTGTAACGTGTGGTAGCACATACCATATGTTACACGTATGTGAAACGTACGTAACACATACGTGTATTCCAACCGCACGTTTCACGTACGTTATATGAAACGTACGTTGTCACACGCATGTTATCCATACGTTGTACCACGTACGTGTAACGTGCGGTTGGACTACACATATGTGTTACATATGTTTAACATACGTGTAACATATGGTATGTGCTACCATACGTTACACGTACGTGGCACAATTAGCTGTGTAGCTTTACAACGATATTTCTTTTATACAAAGAAAGGTCAAAGACCATGCGAGGGGAACCATAGATATTAGTGGCGTGTCATCTATATTTAGATATTGGACCATTTTAAACAGATTACTAGTATGTATAACACATCCTAATCATTTGTTTTTAGATTCCTTGGTGTCTTTTAGTTCGCGTTCAAAGGTAATATATCGATTCAAATTCAACGATATATCTCAATGTTGAATTGAAGTTCACATTAAGATTCTTCTATTAATGTAGAAGTATTTGAATAAATTCAGCATTATAAGTAAACAAAAACAGTTCTGCTTACACTTATAATGAAACATAATTAGTACCAATGGATTTTCCAAAAGATTGTTGCAAAACCTGGTCTCTAAAGTCTACGTAGATATTGTCGATAAGAAACTCAAACATCTTTTTTTTTAAATATGAACTTCAGAGTACCTGTGTGTAGAATCAAAATGGTTTTTAACAAAGTAAGTCTGCAGATGACATTGAAAAGGTAGGAAATTTTATGAGGTCCATTCTTAAGTTTAAAAAAAAAACCCAGTTATTTTTTTATATGAAAAAGCCTGGTCTTTAGATCATCGCTGGAAATTGTTACAGTTGGATTAAGTGTTGAAAAGGCGTTCATTTTATGATATTGATTTTGGTATAACTTTATGATTTCATATTATCTAAAAATTCTTAAAAGTTTTAAGCATACACTTTTGATTAACATCACTTCTCCCTTATGTATTCATTGTGCTCCTGATGTTTTTCCTTTACTGCTGATAATATTTTCACGAGGAGTGTAAAAACAAGAGACTTGATAGACCATTTGAACCCGCTAATTATCTTTGTTTGTAAGGAATGTTATGAAGTAATATTCAAAATATTTAAAACTGACGTATTATTGAAGTATCTCTTCCTTAGAAAGGGGATTATGAGTATAAGTCGGAGTACCACTTGTAGAATTAATTAAATTCAACGTCATCTAAAATGCAATTGAAATACTGAGCCTTACAAACAAAGACTTTGTTGTTACAGCTTTGTCAGTTGGGACAAGTATAAATTGATCGAATAATCTATATAATTCTCTAGTCACTTCTGAAGTACTGAATACAGAAGGATAGATGGTTTTTATATTGCCCATCAATCGTTTTACACGAAATTTTAACATCCACCGTATATTTTCTATCCATTCTTTTTCTATTTGACCCATCGTTTAGCCTAATATTCGACAGAATTCTAACATTAATTTTATAAAATTCTGTTGCAAATGGAAAGATTGGGTTCCCTTAATATTGTTTTTGTAAGACCAATGTCCATGACTATGCTTACGTCTATGTTATTGTTTAAAAGTCCCATTGCATTCATTACACTGTTTAATAAAAAGAATCCCCATACTATTGACATTATCATTGCAAAAGATACTTCAGGGCTAAAAAAGAGATCTTTTGTTTGCATAAATATTAAAATAATTTGTTATCAATTAGATAAACAAGTTTAAATTAAATTTTCAAAAAATGAAATTCATAAACATGTCCGTAAGAACATATACGTGTACACCAACCACATGGGCGATTCAATTTATAGACTTCAAGCATAAATAAAGGATTTTTTTCAATAAACATATTAGTGTTAGAGCATTGATTGTAAAAAAAGTTGCCATATTTAATCATGTTTCCTCCTTCTTATAGGTACATCTTTTGTGATTCCAGGGTCCATGTATTTCGCACTATTCAAAATTCGCATTGTTTTCAGTTTACCTTTACTCATCTTTACCTTTTTTCATTAATATAAGATGTTGTTAATGATAAATGAAATATATGGAGATAACGAACAGTATTCAAGCTCGAAAGTCCATGAAACATTATAAAATTTGAGCATAGCAAACACGGACCTCTCAAATATCGGATGTGGGATCAGGAGCCATGGAGGAGTGAGCATCCCCGGTCACACCCGCCGTGTGCTCCTTGTCTTGATCGGAAAATAACGGAAAAATCCGTTGTCAATTCAGTGTGTAAATAATGGCCTTACAATTACTATGAAAAACGTCAGTCAGGATTTGACTCAATGAAAAATTCTATTTGCTGACAAGGTCATTGTATCGACCATAAAATAATGCGCAAATGCCATCCATGTTTTAAATGCAAGTACTAATAAAGAAATCTGTAATATGAGTATCACATATTGCAGATCTTTTTTTTTTTTTTATAACCAATTCAATATTAAAGCTTCTATCGTGTCTTATACTGATATATATATGTCACAGTTGATATTTAATTAAATATTTTGTTAATAAATTATATTTGATTAGCGCGCATTGCTAATCAAACATAGCGCCGTCTGTGTGAATGAGTGCCATGTGTGAATGTTTTGTTTTGTCACGTGATATTTCTATTTTTAGTTTACAAACTGACCAGGTATACGAATACGACCAGTGGACCAATGACAGACCACTATTTGATAATTAATATGCATGTATACTAACTTCGTGCACTACATAAGCGCTTATCCCGCCAAATCAAATAACTATTAGATTTCTACCTTTACGGTGTAAGAGGTCCAAACCTTCATGTTACTTTTGAAGTCATCGACTTTCACGATGCCTTGATAATTATGTTTCATATTTTATAATACTGGATACCTGGTAAGATTTATTTCTAATGATGTAAATACTTATTGAACCAATTTCGATAATACGTAATTTATCTTTATTGGCAGC